GTTTTCTCCGAGTACTGCGGTTTCCCCTGCCAATCTTCATTCCACCAGTTGCTCCACAATCACCCTCACCTATCATCTGGGGCTAGTACAATAGGGCAGAATTGACCGCAGTACAAGGAACTTAGTCCCACCCCACTAGCAATAAAAAAAAAGTGCTACAACAGTATCATGGAAATGATTAGGAATAAAGTGCGTGGGAAGAAGCTTTTCGTTTATATTGATGAGACCTGCGATACGGAGGCTCGCTACTTGCAACCGTCATCATTGGAACCTTGGAAATTGATGGACCAGGTGAAGTGTTAGAATCCGTTAATCATTCCACAATTTGTAAACTCTTCGAAAGGTCGATGTTTCTACTGTGGCCAGAGGGTATACGACACGACGACGTCTTGCTTTTCGGGACCGATGCAGCCCCATATATTGTAAAGGCAGGCAAGTCAATAAAGTCGTTTTATACGAAATTGGTGCACGTTACATGCCTAGCACATGCACTGCATAGAGTGAGGGAGGAAATGAGATCAAGGTTTCCTCAAGTGGATGCTCCCGTGTGGTGGACGAAGAAGATTTTCGTCAAGGCTCCAGCTCGTAAAATGCAGTTTAAGAGTATGGCTCTTGGTGTTCCACTGCCCCCAGAACCCGTCATTACAAGGTGGGGAACGTGGATTGATGCTGCAATGTACTACTGCGATCATTTTCAGGCAGTGAGAAACACTGTAAACTCACAGAAGATGGAGGATGCGAGGGCAATTTAAGCTGCTCAGAAACAGTTCTCGTGCAGCGAAATGGAAGGACAGCTGGCCTTCATAAAGGCAAATTGCAGTTCTTTGACAGAAGGAATCAAATGCTTACAGGAGAAAGGAGCAACGCTAGAAGATTCGCTGGCTCCCGTGAAAAGAATAGCCAGTGATTTGGAAAAAGTGTCAGGGGACACTGGAAAATGGTGTCAAGAAAAATGAAACATGTTCTAGATAAAAACTCAGGTTATGAAACATTATGCAGCATTCTGACAGGAGAGTTCTTCAGCACTTTCAGTATTGAAGAGGAACTTACTTATAGTGATTTGGTACATTTCAAGTACGCTCCCATTGTGTCTGCAGATGTGGAAAGGAGTTTCTCCAAGAATAGCAATGTGCTGTCAGACAATAGGCATTCACTTACCTTCGAGAATCTCCCCATGTTGACTGTCATCTTTTGCAACTCTGAATACTGTAATACATACCGTATACTTGTATGTACATTTGATAAGCGTTCCAACGCGGTAGAAAAAATCACATTAAAACTTTGAGCTTCAAATTAAATCATATATTGCTTAATTTTCAGCGTAAAAATGAAGACGAACTTAAAAAGAGAAACGTTGAGTTCACAGTGTTAATCAAGATTAAAAATACATTTTAGAACAATTAGTAGATTTTCCATGATATGATACACTTTTAAGTAGTTTCTTAAATTTAGATAATTTTTCTGGAATTTCGGGTCATTTTTAAAATATTTTTAGGTCATCAAAATCCGGGCCCTGTTGATAAGTAAAGAATCAGCTGTCAAGAAACTTACCAACATATATTGGCCCCACCAATATAGAGCTGTCCCCAGTAACAGGCATATGGAGTTTCTAATCTGCAACACACCAGTACAAGAAACATATGAGAATTAATCCTATTTGGAACTCCATCTACTGATTAAGTGGCTGAGTTTCTGAGAGATACATTTCTAAACATATGGCAATTTATTATTTTCAAAATCCTGTCGAGGATATTTGAATGAATCTCTCTCTCTCAGAAAACATTTCAATACATCATTTAGACAAAATTATTATTGCTTAGTACGGAGCTACTTAGGGACTTACTAGAGGCTATGCAAAAATTATTGCTTTTCTGAAACTTACATTTATTTCTCCATCCTCCTCTAAGATGAACTCTCTCATTTCCATCATCACTGAAAAATAATAAATAAAACGACATGAGAATGCTCCACAGATGCACATTCACACTCCAAATATCTGACTTGTTACAGTAATGCCAATTTGTTCATTGTAGAAAAGCAGGGCATGCCCAGGTAATTACAGAGCATGACAATCCCGTAAAATCTGCAGTGTTTTTTCACTGCCTGTTTAGATCAGTGCAATAAAAAATAACTACACGAACTGGCTCCTGAATACACGAAAAAAATCGTGTATTAATTCACAACAGCTAGCGGAAATTCCCTGAATTATAGAGCAGCTGTTTAGGAGATGGTGGATTGAAAACTGGCTGGAGAAACGGGAGCACACAGAGAAACCCCGACCCAGTGCCACTTTGTCCGTCACAAATATTAAGAGCCATTATCTGGAATGGAACCCAGTGCAACAAGATGAGTGAGCTGACTAACCACCTGTGCTATGCCACGGACTATTCTAACCCATGTTTAATATCAAATTATGAATGCTAGCAGCTGTGGATCCATTGTGTTGAATCCTAGAATTACAGTATAAGCAGTGTGCATTTATCTGATGATAGTCTCACTGGTGAAAGGTGATATCATAGCTGTGGGTTATGAATCACACACGACAATACGCGCAACATTTTACACATTAAATGTAACTCAACTATCATAACGGGATATTCACCAGTTCAGTGGAAAGTCACGCAGATCACATGATTCCGAAATCTGGTAGACCGCTAGCAGAAGCCAGCTCATGAGCCTATTCCCAGTAATCAGCAAAATCTTGGAAAAGGCAATACTGACGAGATTGTGCCAGGTGGTAGAAGAAACCCGAATCCTCCCGGACAGAAATACTCTACTATAGAACAAGCACACCGAATTACAGAGGTATTAAGAGGAACTGTACTGCTCTGCTGCGTGCCTAGACATCACACAAGCGTATGATAAAGTATGTCACCCAGGCCTCTTGTTCACAATCAGAAAACCTTTCCCCATGCAGACTACTGAATACTGGAGTCATATCTAACAGATAGACTCTTTCAAGTAAAATTCAAAGACGAAATCACAATCTTAATGAAAACTGAATTAGGCGTACCTCAAGAAGTGTCTTAGGACCTGTTCTATATCTTATCTATGCAAGAGATCACCCGACATCAGAAAATACAACTGCTACCCTCGCTGGTGTTACAGCAATCTTATCCACAGATGAAGGTCCAGAGATAGTCTCAATGAAACTCCAAGCCACCATCAATAAACTCGATGATTAGGTGAAGAAATGGAGAATTAAAATAAATCGAAGCAAATCCACGCATATTACATTCACCCTAAGCAACCTAACCTATCCGACAGTGCAAATGGGTAATGTTGCTCTACCTCAGAAAATGAAGTGAAATACCTAGGCATGCATCTCGATAGAAAACTGAGATGGGGAAAGCACATCAAAACCAAAAGAAAACAGCTCAACCAAAAAGCGAAACAAATGCACTGGCTGCTAGGAAGATCAACACCGTTATAGAATGCAAACTAGTCCTAACCAAAGCAGTACCCAAACCCATATGGACTTCAGTTCAGCTATGGGGAACAGCCCCCCAAGTCCAACATCGAAATCCTCCACCGCTTTAGATCCAAGACCTCCGATCCATTCGGAACGCACCTTGGTACATAAACGACCACAGGATCCATGAAAGTCTCCAAATTAAAACAGTGCTCAGTGAAATAAAACAGTGGGATACGAAATACTTAAGAAAATTAGAAAACCACACAACTGCGATAGCAGTGAACCTACTAGACAATAGCGGAACTACACATAGACTGAAAAGGTACATCGTCCTAACCCTACCATACAGACCTGAGCAAAACCCCAGTACAAGCATTCAAATGATACCTAATTGAAAACAAAAACGAGTATGAGTTGCGCCACTGGGCATAACTCATTCACGAAAAAGTGCTTACTGAACATATTTACTTACAGCACTCTGCAGATTATGTAGAATAAATGTGTGAAAAAGAATGGGATTTTAAATCGGGAATAAAGGACTTCCCAGCTACTACTGGACTTGAATAAACTAGCAGGGGAAGAGATGTAAGTTGTAAGGCAACAGATAAGTCACTCATCATTAAAGACACTGTGGGAAACGATGTCTTCTACGAGGTACGTGACGAGTCTAAGTACGTAACAAGGACCAACGAGACATCTGAAAATCGTAGCATTTAATGCGAATGGCATTAGGAGGCAGTGCTATGAGCTCAGTACACACCTGCAAAACCTACACATAGATCTGGGACTGTTTGCAGAGACTTGCTTGAAAATTCAGGAGAGGTTTCTTATACCTTATGGAACCGACAGCGGCGGTTAAGCGTATGATCATTCGAGAGACTAGGCTGCCGTTGTAATGGGTGCTGCTTAAGATAGGAAACGATCTATTGTTCTCAACCTGGATTGATAAAGGCATTGTATTATATCATGTACTATGCACGTAAAACTGCAAACATTCAGAATATACTGATGACAGATGGACAATGACTTCAACAAATGAGACATCTGTCCTCTCGTCAGAGAGGCCGCCCCATATCGACAAAACCGTAACTGTCTGTCAGTAACTAAGACTTGGTCATGAACCCCAGAAGGGGCCCGACACCAAGACGGACGGACTGACCGATCGTCGGTCGCGATGTGACTTGACTTTGATGTTGCCTACCAACGACCAGTGGAGACACTAACAAACTGCGAAGATTTAGTGCTCCACGTATTTATTTGTAGAGTGTGGAAATTAACAGGATTATTATAATCATTTGTACTCGTAGTTACGAGTTATAACAGTTCAGTAAATCCAGTAATCAATCCAAACCTAGTGTCTAGTCACTAACACGTGAGAGTGTGTTACTTACAATTGGCCATATTTCTTGAGATTGACGCGCCGTTGAACACGGCGCGTGCTGCGTCCATCTGAAACAATGTATGGACATTTTTTAGTTATCCTTTATTACCACGCAACAAATTGAGATTCTTCTGCCATTTCGCCTGTAAGTATGTGGAATCGTGAGAATTTATTCGCCAAGAGTTAAATTCAGACACTGTAGCGCTAAGTTTGCATAGCAGTCCTCCCCGTTCAATATAAACTAGTGTGGGAAGCACATGAGGTCGAATTTAGGTACGATGATATAAACAGTTGATGTGAGCAGGACCGACTAACTGAAATTTCTCGTCGATACGGGTGCAGATATTTCTGTCGTCAGATACTTGAGTTTAAGTATTATATTTTAGCATCTCGTTGCATTGAAGCATCATCCTTTATATTAAAGTATCTGTCAGTAATGCAAAAATTTAAAATATATTAGGAATATGTTTCACACTAAAAATATATTTCAATACTTTTTGATGATGTTGAAATCATTACATGTCAGTGGGACATTAAAAACATATTCTAAAAGTGACTATCCAATTTTCTAAAATGTCTTAAGTCATATATTTCCTCTAGTGTACGATATATTTCGGCCCTATGGGCCATCATCAGGTAATTTCTTTTCTTTTGGGGAGACACAGGTAGAGCGCACTAGTGATACATACGACACACGAAAACTACGACAGCCGCAATAGAGTGCAACGACGGCATTCTGTTCATGAAATAGTGCTAAATATTGACGTGCATGGAAGAATAATGAACAAGTATGCAGTGCAGTGGTCTCCAGTGTGAAGGACCCGAGTTTGAGACTCTTAAGATGGAGGTTAAAGCTCTAAGAACACTATTATGAAGTGATTTATAAGAAAAGTCCAGAAAACAAAAATGCAGACTCACTCAGCAGACTTCATGTTACTACACCAGTTTCGGAAAACGAAGGTAACGAAGCAAGAGACAGCCAAGAAGATAAGGCGAGGATTCTCACAGAAATGCATGAAAACCCGACAGACCGTCATTTAGGAATGAATAGGACCTATGAAAGAATAGAGCTTTTTGTATCTTGGCCAGGTATGAAACGAGAAATCTAAAATTACGTTAAACGTTGTGAAATTTGTCAGAAAAAATGACTGGGGAAACTTGGTTCCCAGGATTAACGTTGTTAAAGAGTATTAAATTCGGATTTTTATTGGAGTAAATATTCTTTGTACATTAAAATTGAAAATTCATTGAAACATTGCTCTATGAACAGTACATTATTTATTGAAATTACCCAAAGCGTTTAGTTTATAGCTACATGGGTGAGTAAGCTGAGGAGCTCGGTGATCGGTTGTGCTCCAGGTAGGTCTATGATAGCTAAAGTAGGAAACGTAGTTCATGCAGGATAAATTGTTCCCATTTCGTCCAGCGAAACCGGAATAGCGAAGTGACGAAAACGTCCATTACCATTAGGGCTGGGTATTTGTTTTTATTGCCAGTGGGGTGGGACTAAGTCCCTTGTACTGCGGCCACTTCTGGCCTATTGCACCAGCCCCAGATGATAGGTGAGGGTGACTGTGGAGCAATTGGTGGAATGAATATTGGCAAGGGAAACTGAAGTACTCGGAGAAAACCTGACCCAGCGCCACTTTGTCCACCACAAATCCCCCTTGACCAGACCAGGGATCGAACCCGAGCCGACGGGGTGAGAACCCAGCGACTAAGCGCTTGGGCTATAGCGCCGCCCTACGGCTGGGTAAATAATGTTCCCACAATGAAGTCACCCATCACACGTCACACCTCCACAGGTTTGATGCCGCATGAGCTGATGTTCGGCAGGAAGCCGAATATGCCTGGCGAATTACAGAAGGAAGCTCCAGGTGTGTCTTATACGTATGATAACTATATAAGGGAATTGCAGTCTAGGCTGAGTCCAGATATGAATTAGCTAAGAGCAGTTTGATAGCTAAGATGGAACTTAGTAAGGAACATCAAGACAAAACTGTAAACATTCCATTGTTTTCAGTTGGGATAAAATCTTACTCCATGAGGAAAGGATTAGGAGAAGTAAGTCACTGAAACTCTCACCCCCTTGGATAGGACCTTACGAAGTAACAGAGGTCGATGACGTAAATATTACATTAAAATTTCCAAGGAATAAGACTTTCAAGTTCCTCGCCAACAGAGTGAAACCGTTGTTTGGATGTTTGCAGGGCCATGCCTGCCAGACTGTGGACCCTCTGCAGCATACTGTCGTTATTAAACAGACAGCTTCTCTCGACGTCACCATAGATAAGTACACTTAATTCCCAGGCTTGCATTATGACGACGCAGGTACCGCACGACTGTACAGTGCGAACTGGAAGGTTTCACGTGTGTAAATCTGGAAGAGACTAATCAAAATTTGGAAATGGTAAAGAAGTATACTAATTTATCGACACATTTTTGCAAGGAGCACGAGCGCGCGTTCTGGATCAATTTATCTTTCTATGAAAACCATGAGGTATTTGGATATACAGATTGAGGAAGCAGGAAATACGAATCTACTTGTAAAACATTTACCCAGAATCGACGAAGAAGCGATTCAGTTGCATTTTAACTTTATTGATGGAATTAGCAAAATCTTGTTTGGTACTGTCGACGGTGAAGATGCATCATATTACACAGACAAAATTTCGGATTTAGAAAGGGAACAGGCTAATAACAGATAGAAATGGTAAAATCGACGTTAAGATCTATGAATACGACATTACAGGGCGTATATGCGAACCAGAGGATACTATCAAAAGGGCTGGAGAACATGGCCAGACACGTTACTCAACACGATGGTGAGATAAAGAGAATGTTTACTTCTACATCCATGCTGCTTGCTGTAAATTAGCATTCGGCGCAACTACACAGAGCTTTGGGCGAATGTAGACGAGATTACGAAATTTTAATTGACGCTATTTTAAAGGCTCAGAAGGGAATACTCCAGCCACATGTCAGTACACCAGCGCAGATCATGAATTAGATGACATAAATCAAGCTGACATCTTGAGTGACTTGACATTGCCAACTCCATTGAGTGCAGCCTAACATAACTTAGTTTTAATAATTAGTGAATTTGATGTATTTTTGAAGGACAATTGTTTGTGTAATTGGACTACCGCTAATTAATCATGTGAAATATAGTGTGCACCATGTTTTGTCCCTACCAATTAAGATAGGGAATACTGATTTTAAATTTACATTTATATGGCCATAACGTGTGTATTTGTTAATGAATAGAGCTAAGCAGTATTATACTATGTTAAGGGTAGACGAATTTAATGAACGTAAACTGATAACAGCCATCGACTGTACAAACAAAATTTAAAGCATTTATCCATGTTAGGTGGGTCCCTGTCACCACGGCATGGCGCGTCCTCAGGTTGCGGATGGAGGAGACGCCCTCCAGTTTTGGAGGGAAGCTGCGAATATATTGAATAAGCAGTCGCGGACAGCCGACAAGGGGTGGCCCTCCAGCTTGGGGGTTGGGCGTGGGGCTAACAACTCACCGTAAACAAATCAATATGTTACGAAAATGAACACAAAGCCTCGGACCTGGACGGATTCCTTGGATAAACGACCTAAGCTAATGAAAATGAATATGAAATTTGGCACTTGGAATGTACGAAGTTTGTATAGGGCAGGTTCGCTCAGGGCAGTGGCAGAAGAAATCTTAAAATATAAGTTAGATTTAGCGGGAGTACAGGAGGTCAGATAGGATGGAGGTGGCATCGCACCAGNGGAAGATACAAAATCAAATAGACCATATTTTGATAGATAGGAGAAGGCACTCCAGTGTATTTGATGTCCGATCATTCAGGGCAGCAGATTGTGGTGGCAAAGGTTAGGGAAAGACTGGCAGTGAGCAAACAAACAACACACACAGTTCAAATGGAGAGGTTCAATCTCAAGAAATTAAATGAGGTAGAGGCTAAAGACCAGTATCGTGTTGAAATCTCAAATAGGTTTGCGGCTTTGGAAAACTTGGACACCAAGGTGGATGTTAATAAAGCTTGGGAAACTATTAGAGAGAATATAAAAATGTCTGCCAAAGAGAGTCTAGGTAGAAGCGTAAGCCATGGTTCGATGAACGATGCTCAAAATTATTACATCAAAGAAAGCAGGCCAAATTGCAAAGGTTACAGGATCCAAGCAAGTTAAATGGGGATAATCTGTACAATATAAGACATGAAACCAGCAGGCATTTCAGGATCAAAAGAGGGAATATCTGAAAGACACAATTGATGAGCTTGCAATGAACAGTAAGAACAAGACCATTAGAGACCCGTATAGAGGAATAAATGACTTTAAGAGGGCTTACCAACCTAGCAGTAATTTAGTGAAAGATGAGAATGGTGATCTGCTTGCAGATTCCCACAAAATTTTGAATAGGTGGAGGAACTACTTCTCTCAGTTATTGAATGTACATAAGGTCAGTGATGTTAGGCAGAAAGAAATCGATACAGCTGAGCCGTTAGTACCTGATCCTAGCCCTTTTGAGGTTGAAAGTGCTGTTGCAAAATTGAAACTGTATAAATCGCCAGGTAGTGATCAGATTCCGGCAGAACTTATTCAAGCAGGAGGCCAAATATTACGTTCTAAGATCCACAATCTAATTACTTCTATTTGGCATAAGGAAAAATTACCTGATCAGTGGAAGGAGTCTATTATTGTACCAATTCACAAGAAGGGTGTTAAAC